ATTACCAGGTCTAAACCACTGCATTTATTCTTACATTCTTAGTAACATTATATTTGCCAGATACAATCTTTCAAAAATACTGGATAAAAAAATAAAGATACAAATGTTCAACAGTACAACTAAAGCTATTTTTAGGAAAGAGGCTAACTCTAACAATCCCACCAATATCATGTGTACTGTGGACATATCTCTTAAAAACTGATGTCAATAAAACACATAAGCATTTGCTAAATTAGGGGTACTGTGTTCTATTACAATTCAAATCCAACAGTGGTGATCAAGTAACAATTTGGAATAAAAGTAACACTGTACCCAATCTATTACCTAACTTTCAGATGATTTCAGATATTCAATAAAGGACTTTTTTCCCACCAATAAGAAAGGGCTCTTTATTTGGTTTGCTTAATGTAACAACTGCACTAGTACTTTTTTTTCTTTAGGATGCTACAATAACATACGTATTTCCTTGATAAACCAAGCATTTTAAGTAAACTCCACTTGTTTAGTGCAAAAAAGACATCTGTCATTCATTCATTTCCTGATTGCTTGAAAGGATCTTAATCTGTGTATCCTCATTTACCCTATGGAGAATTTGAAAAGAATCTGAAAAGCTTCCTCCTGGGTTAACCCTATGTAAGTACATAAGTGACCAGCCATGTGTAGGAAAAAAAATGATAAGAGTTTGTTATTTATTTATTTGTTTTGAGACAGAGTCTCATTCTGTTGCCCTAGCTCACAGCAACCTCAAACTCCTGGGCTCAAGCGATCCTCCTGCCTCAGCTCCCGAGTAGCTGGGACTACAGGCATGCACCACCATGCCTGACTAATTTTTTCTATATATTTGTAGTTGTCCAATTAATTTCTTTCTATTTTTAGTAGAGACTAGGTCTCGATCTTGCCCAGGCTGGTCTCAAACTCCTGACCTTGAGCGATCCTCCCACCTCGGCCTTCCAGAGAAGAGTTTATTTAAATGTGAAAATCTCTAACTTTAGATATAGCTTAATAGATTTTATTAAGTCTTTAAGAAGTCCCAACAATGTCTTTAAAAGTATATTTTTTAAAAAATCTATACAATACAAATAAATTATGTCCCTTTTAGATAGCTTTCTCTAAATTGTCTGATAATGAACATAAAAATTGGAAGTGAAAACTGTTAACTAAGAGGAAATCTGTCACTCTCAGAACATAGTTCTTTTTCCTATGGTTTCTCACCTCAGTCAAATGCTTCCTTTTCAATAAGATTCATTAATTATCTCTCTATTCAGACAGTAAGTTTTTATCTTTTTTACCCCATGAGATCCTTTACAATTCTCTCAAGTTTCTTACTAAAACTAAATACAATGTGTTAATATTTTCTGAAAACCCACAATAAAAATGCTTAAATTCCTAGTTTTCTCAGATGTAAATTTGAAACCTCTGGAACTTCATCTTTGTCACCTGTAAAACAGGGAAAATCATATTGGTTCTGTGCAGGCTGCTATGCAGAATTAATGAGATAATGACCATGTATAAACTATAAAGAGCCCTGCCATCAACTTTATTTTCTTTTTTAACGTTATTTACTGGGAAGATGCACAACAAAGACCTGTATAATGACCACTGGTGTTTATTGCCAGAAATTATAGCTCATCCTAAAACATTCCTGAGAAGGCAAAAAGAATCCAAATGAGTTAGAAGATAACTATTATCATGATTCAGCACAACCATTCAGTTAGCAAATATTTATTGAACTTTCTGTAAATTATTGATGATAACTGTAAGCTCTTATCTGTTGAGGTCATACCACCTCTTTTATCATTCCAAAATTATTTCTCTCTCCTAGGTTTTCCAGATCTGTTAAAGGTTTTTGTTTGTTTGTTTAAGAAATCATAAATTCATAAACATATTTGCTGTCCATGAGACTAAATTTTTCTAACAGTATTAAGTAGAATAAGCAACCTACATGATTTGATTTTCAGGTCTCGTGGACATTGATGGTCTAAATAATAATACAAAGCAAACCAATATTGACTTTGATAACCTCCCTTTTGAAACCATTCTCGTATCCAATTATACTCCAAAAGCCCAATATCTTCATGCTTTTTAAGCCAATCTCTCTCAAGTTGTGTAATACATGAGTAAATGTAATCTAATAAAGCCAATGATAACAATGACTAACTTCTATTGAGCATTTAATATGTGCCAGGAACTTCATTTTATATGAATTTATGCTCACAAATTTCTAAGATATAGGTACTTTTATTATTCCTATGTTCAAAGGAGAAAATCCAGTCATTCCTCAGTTTTAAATACAATAAATCCTCACTTAATGTTGTGAATAAGTTCTTAGAAACCATGATTTTAGGAAACAAACTATAGCAGGTCCTCAAATAATATTGTTTTGTGTAACATTTCCATACAACACTGATAAGAAAAAACAAATTAGTTTCATTATATATCATTTCGCTTAAAGTTGTAGTTTTCAAGGACCTATCAATGATATTAAGTGAGGATTTACTGTAATTCCTAAAATGAAATATAATTATAAAATATTGCTTACAGAAACCCATCTCCCAATTTTTCATAAGCTACACATATAATCATACCATTTTAAGTATCATAAAAATTATTACTTCTTTATGTAATTTGAAGATTATTTTTAAAAGGGCACAGTCAATTTTATAATCATTGTATCTTTTTAAAAAGAGAAAAACTCTATTTGGCAAAAAAGTAACAACTGGAAAAAAGTCAACAAAATATACTAATCACAGTTCTACTCCTATATTTTCTTGTAGTATCTAACTTTCTTTATTTCCCTAAGGACACCCTTATATTAGAAAATTCTTACTCTCTTACTTAAACAAAATAATGCATCCTTCTTGCTTCAACAGCTCTCACTGGTAATACATTATGAGCAGAGTACTATGATCATCTTCATGAACTAACAAACTTAATTAGTAATCTTGACATCTGTATCACAATTTATTAATGTCTGGTAACAGGTTAAAGGACTTTACAGGAATTCCTTACAAGCTATATATTAAACAACATAAATTTATGCAAAATTCTAATCTAAAATCAATTCATTTCGATGAAAAATATTTCTAAAAAGCCTAGAAAACTTCCTCTGCAAAGAAGTTGCAAAGGGGAAACAACTGATCATGTGATGTATTTCACTGTCCTGCAAAAAAGTCTTTATAGAGAGTTTTAGTAATAACACTAAAAATAAGCCAAATGATGTAGAAAATGAGCGAAATCATGTAGAGTCTTACAGACTATAATAAAAAATTAATTATTTTTCTACTTGTAATGGAAGCCACTGGAGGGTTTTAGACAAAGGAATGAATGATCTGACTTACAACTTTTAAAGATTTCTCTGGCTGCAATGTTGAGAACTGACTGAGATAGGAGCAGAAAAAGATGACAAAATTAGAAAGGTATAGCAAAATTTGAGATCAGCAGTTATCCAATTTGGTATCCTCTAGCTCCATGTGGCTACTAAGCATTTGAAATATGGCTTATCTGAACCAAAATATACTTTCAGTATAAAATACACATCAGACTTTAAAGATATATAGTAGGAGAGAAAAAGTAAAATATTTCAATAAGTTTTTACATTTATTACATATTAAAATATTTTAGATATTTTAGGTTAAATAACATGATTAAAATTAATTTTACCAGTCTCTTTTCTTAAATGTAGCAACTATAAAATTTTAAATTATTAATGTGGTTCTCATTATATTTCTATTTGACAGTCCTGATCTAGATGGTGACTTAGACTAGAATTTTTTTTTTTTTTTTTTTTTTTTTTTTTGAGACAGAGTCTCGCTTTGTTGTCCAGGCTAGAGTGAGTGCCGTGGCGTCAGCCTAGCTCACAGCAACCTCAAACTCCTGGGCTCCAGTGATCCTTCTGCCTCAGCCTCCCGAGTAGCTGGGACTACAGGCATGCGCCACTATGCCCGGCTAATTTTTTTTTTTATATATATATCAGTTGGCCAATTAATTTCTTTCTATTTATAGTAGAGACGGGGTCTCGCTCTTGCTCAGGCTGGTTTCAAACTCCTGACCTTGAGCAATCTGCCCGCCTCGGCCTCCCAAGAGCTAGGATTACAGGCGTGAGCCACAGCGCCCGGCCTAGACTACAATTTTTAAAAGGTGGAAATGGTAAGAAGTATTGGATTCAGGATACATGTTGAAAGTAGAGCCTACATAATTTGTTGACTGAATAAATGTGAGAGGTAGGGAAAGGAATGAAACCATTATGATTCCAAAAATATTTCCCTCAGGAACTTAGTAAATGGTGGTGAAGTATACTAGGATGGGAATGTCTGGAACAAAATTTGAAGTCCTATTTTAGAATCTTATGTCTGAGCTGCCTGTAGGACCATCTTAACAGACATGTCAAGTCCTGGTCTCAATATTCATAGATAAAGAGATCATCATTCATAAGGAGTATATGCAAATGGTACACCTGGGGTTGTATAGTGTTCATCCTGGAAAGTTATATCAAACAACTTCGCATCAAGTATCCTTTAGGTGGTATATATTCAACAAATATTATTAATTGTTAGAACATAATTCAGGCATATAAATTTGATTCATGTGTAATGCTAGATTCTGCTACTAAAAATATTTCAGGAAATATAGTAATTAGAAGTTCAAATGTTTTAACCTAACAGCCCAGGAATCAAATCCTAGCATCACCACACTAAAATATGATACTCAGCAAAATTTTTAATCTCTCTATCCCTTAGTTTACTCATCTCTAACATGAAAGTAGAACCCACATCATAACATAAAGATTAAATAAGATAATGCATGTAAGGTAATTATTAATAACATTATACCAAGCACAAAGTAAAGGCAATACATGACAGCTACTCATAAAATTGTGCAGTAAAAGATGGAGTCAGTAACAAAGCTACATAAGATTTTTGGGGAGTTTCATTCTAGTTCTACTTTAATATCAGAATATACAGTATATTATCTCAGAATTCTCCAAGATTAAAATCTCTTACCTGTAAGTAGTGTTTGGAACATAAACATCCCTGGCAGGAAACTCTAAAATTTCTCTGGTAGGTCTAACTCTACTGTCAGGGTAAAGCTTCACTTGAAGCAGCTCTGGGGTTAGGCAATAATGGGGATTTTCAGGTGCAGGAGAAATATCTATCTTCAGCTGAGCTGCATATTAAAATATATCATAAAAACAATGTAAACATGATATACAAACACTTCATGTTACAAATGTTTTTTGGATGGCTTTAGACCTTATTTTTTTGCAAGAAGTGTGGGGAGAATACTGCAGAAACCAAATTACTATCATCTCAGAAGTCTAAGTCAATTCATTTTACAAAGTCTCAAATATTACTAATACAGACATAAGTGCATATAAAATAATAAATTCTTATAGAATAAATGAAAGAAAATGAAGGAATAAGTTTAAAAAAACGAAAAGGAAAACAGAGGGAGGGATCTAACATAAAAACAAGCCAACATTCCAAAGTTTAAATGGTTTAATTTTGACTTAGCAGACTTCACAACATTTTTACTCTGGAATGGTTTGCTCTGACCATGATGTGAATCTATTTTTGAATATTTACCATTCCATGTGAGTTTTTTCGCTCTAGAAAACAACTTTAAGCCATGATATTCTGATTTTAGTATAGTAATTCCCCTTCATCCATGAGGGATACATTCTAACACCACAAGCAGATGTCTGAAACCTGTAGATAGCATTGAACCCTATATATACTGTTTTTTCCTATGCATACATGCCCATAATGAAGTTTAATTTATAAATCAGACACAGTAAGAGATTAATAATTAATAAATAGAGTAATTATAACACTATAAGAAGTTATGTAAATGTGGTCTCTTTCTCACTCTCTCTCAAAATATCTTAATATTTTTACACCACAGTTGACCACAAGTAACTGAAACTGAGAATGGTAAAACCACAGATAAGGTGGGACTACTGTCCTCAAAGTATCAAAGGTACCAAATCATTCATCCAAACTGTTATAACATGTGTTCATTAATGAGATGAAGAAGACTGACAGGTACTGAGCATAGAAAAAGGTATAGGCCAGATAAGGAAAAAAAGGAATACATAATTAAAAGCAATATAACACATTAGTGATAATAATTTAAGTTGTAATCATTTCTATTCAAAATTTTAAAATACCTGTAATAGGCCTTAGTCGCCGTAAGACAGAAGATGGCCTTCTCATATCAGCAAGGAATTTGTATAGATCTTCATCACTTAAGCGGTCTCCTTCCTGATTTCAAAGATAGTGGGAAAAGTATTTGATAAAACAAATACAGTAGATGGAAAAGAAATTTAAATTGTTTGATAATAAGCATGCCCTTTGGCCAACAATGTAACCAGAATAAAAAATAAAATTAAATTAACATAATTATAAATAAATATCATACAACTTATTACCCTTATTTTTATGCTTTCAACTTTTACTAAGATTTATAATACTATTATCTTTTTCTTACATATTTATTTATAGTCTGTTATCTATGTCTATAAGGTATCACAGAAATACCCTAAAAACCAATATGAGTTAAAGATAGATGAAAAATAGAAAAGATAATATAGCCATAAAACCAAAAAGCAGACTAATATAAAAATGAGTCTTATAAATTTGTTACACTTGAGTTCATATCTGTCTTTTCAACTTTATACCACCTAATTTCTCAAATGCAAAATTTGCAGCATCGATTAAAAAAAAAAAAAAAGGAATAAACAACAACAAAAATACTGTTAAGGAAAAGCACAACTATCCTAATTCTAAGACCAGAAAGAAAACTCTGAAAGGGCCTCAATCAATGGGAAAGAGAAACATAAACACACACACAAAGAATCATATCGAATATAAAATTTTCAACTTAATATTAGTATTTTTTTTCCTACAATTAACCTAGCTAGGGGTTGGTTTTATTCTTTTATTGAAGGGTCAGTCTGTAGATTTTATTAAACCAATCTGCCGCTTTGACATTTTATTGTTTTTGTACATATTTCATATATTGTCCTTTTCTCTTATGTGCTAATGAATATATATATACATACACACACACACACTTTTTTGCGAGACAGAGTCTGGCTTTGTCACCATGGCTGGAGTACAGTGGTGCAATCATAGCTCACTACAGCCTCAAACTCCTGAGCTCAGCTATCCTCCCACCTCAGCCTCCCAAAGTGCTGAGATTACAAGCATGAGTCATTGTATCAGGTTGGTAATGAATATATTTAAGACTACTTTATTAATGTGAACTTACTTTGAGCCATGTCCCATTTGTTAATTATTATATTGTAAACAGGGTACAGAATTGGTCTTCTTTTATCCCATTATGTAAAAAAATTATTTTTAATTTCTAAGTGGTTATACTTTTTAATACTTTTAATAGTTTTTAGTGAGTTATAGTCAGAAAATTTTACTTTATGAAGTATTTTTCAGTGACTTTACTATGACGAATTATTGCAAATGTTCCATCAGTTTGCTTAAACAGTGTACTTTCTCCTTTTGAATATGGAAGTAATAAAGAGTGGCCCTCATTCATAATAGATAATAATAAGGGCCAATTTAAGTGGCCCTTATTCATAATAGATTCAAATTATCCTAGACTTAATTATTTCTGTCTACTTAACCTCTGAAATTATATTACTGGACTCCATTCCTGACTACCTGTTTCCATGCCTTTTGGTAAATGAGATACAATTCCCTCCCTATTATGGCCACGTGCCTTGCTTTGCCAATAAACAAATATGACGAAAACAAAGACTTGAAAAGCATTTGCACAATTTAGCTTGCCTTGTCTCTTAATTTGCTGCCACTGCTATAAGAACATAACCAAGCTGGCCTGTTAGAAGATAAGAGTAGAAGTTGAGAGACATGGAACAGAGCTGAGTCATTTCATTCTTCCCAGCAGAAGTCAGTCTTTATCAGCTGATCCCAGCCAACCTCTAAATATGTGAATAAGCCTAGTTCACTGGAGCCTTCTAGCTGACACCTCTTCCTCTACATTGCTTGTGTACTATGGTGCACTACTAAAGCAATAGATAGCTTGTATTCTTGTCACCAAATAGAACAAATGTCCTTACAACTACTGTGTGAGTTTGATTTTGTTTTTAAATATCCATGTATTTCTAATAATTCTGGTTTAACACATTTCAAATCTGTATATAAATACTCATGATTACCATATCCCAATTATAGATAGCAATCTCTCATAAATTGAAAAAAAAACTGCCTTCTGAGTCTCATTTATGGGAAACTTGTGCCTTGAATTCTACTTTATTAAAATTATAGTGTCTGTTCTTACTTAATTTGCATTTGTCTGAAATATAATTTTCCATCTATTTAAAAATACTTATGAAAACAGTTCATGCTCTGGTAAAAAGGAATTTGAGGAGATAAAACAGTTGATGCTCACGGTTCAAAAAATTTTTTTAATACTGTGCTGTACAAAACACAGTGTAAACATTTTGCATTGCTCCATTATGTCCAACAACCATTTATTTTTAAGTTTTTATAATCACTTTGAACTATTTTCCAGTTACCAGCATTCAAAGCAGTGCCCATTACATGGTGAATATTTAAAAAACACAGGGAGAAAGTGGATGGCCTGTTGATTTAAATTTACAGTATACCAGTTCAACAATATATAGCAGGCTACAGAATGAATAGAGAGCTGTGGAAACAGGAGCAGAAGTGATGTAGCAGCTGGAGAAGTGGAGTGTGAAGTGTCATACCTACAAGGTTGTGTCATTATAGTAAATCTATTGCCTCATTTCTATAGCTATATCTGATCTATCACTTTATCCAAGTGTGGCCTTCTCCAGACTTTTTCTCTTACTATTATCCATAATAAAAAGACTGTTACCACTTCAGACACTTATCACTTGCTTTTTTTCCCATTAGAGTCTCTTAGAGCAGCTGCCTATGAATAGTACTGACATGTAACAGTGAAGAGGGCTTCAAGTAGATTTCTATCTATCAATTCAAAGCACATTCTGCTATCAGTTCTTGCTTTCTCAAGTTACGAGGTGTCACTAAGCTGGGATTGCATCCTCTTACTCAGAATAACATCCCAGAAAAAGTAATTTTGAGACAATGACATTTCTTAGCATTTCCTTCAATCTGCTCCAAAAACACTTGGATGGTACATTTTTTCAGTTTGTTCATGAGTGAGTACAAGTTTTCTCCCCATTCTTATATGGTTCTAGTCATCTGGTCACTTACCACAAAGAATTTCAAAATTTTCTAACTTTGATTCACAGTATAAAATCTATTTTACACCAAAATACAGTATACAAATATACACATGCATGCACTCACACAAAAACTGGAGGATAAAAGCTTTCCTGAAGCAATATTTAACCTTACCATGTACAATGAACTATTATTTTTTCTACTCTACTACTATTTTAGGAGTTTTCCCCCCATCAGCTAAGTATTGTCTAATAAGCTGATTTCCATTATCACTAATAAGTCATGACTGGCATTTGAAAAACACTGATTTGACTCATTATGTGAAGTGGAGGGAATAGATTTACAAATAATAAAATGTTTGATCAAGAACCTCTTGTGTCTATAAATTCATTTGTAAAAATAACACTGACCTCATTCTAGCATTACTAGGACTTGAAAGTTCTATTCCATATACCTCTAAGAAAAGTAATAAACCATTAATATTTAAGAAAAGATTACTCTATTACAATTGAGAAATAGAATATAAGTGTGTAAGATTGATTTTGATGTATTATCACTTAAGGTCAACATTTAAATAAATATAAAAATAAAACAGGTACAATATAAATTATTTTCTACTCTTATAGTGATTTTTATTGTTATTCTTAAAGTTTTTTAAATTTATTGAAATCACACTGATGTACAGGTACAGTACAATTACTACTTTTCCGAAACTAAAAGAAACTTGTGTACAAACATTCCCCCACAATTCCTACATGTCAGAACAATACCTGCTTAAAGAAATTAGTCACTGTGAGAGTAGCTGGTCGAAAGCTGGTCAAATTACAAGCATCATCTCCACTTGTTGTCCTTTCAAGTGATCGTCTGCCAACAATACTAGAATTCCTTCTCTCTGACCAAGACCCTTTTCGCTCTACCAAGAAAAAATATATACATATCTTCATTTTCATAAAATTTAAATTTTGTTTTAAAGTTTTCCAGACATAGGGAAGAAACCAATAAGTTAAAAATAATCCACTCATCATACTGATTATAGTAGAAGAATTTGACTTTTGTAGAGCTCAGTAAGAACATAATATAATCTAAATCTTCTGGTTCGCTTTTTACAACACCCCTAGTGTAAAAATAAGTTTCTGGCACACAAAGATTTATGTTTATGACCAAAGACGAGCTACGACAAATAGTTACAGAAGAACTACACATTTACAACAAAATATTCACCACAATGGAAATTTTAGTCACCATATAATGGTCCCTCAGTCTTAACACTTGAGTTTGAAACAGAATTGTCAGATAAGCTGCGTTCAAAGTATTTGTAAGATAATCCTATAATTTAAAACCAATAGTACAATTAGACTGAGAACCAATAGTACGATTAGATTAGATTGAATTAACAAGGAAATAGAAGAATTCAACAAAACTATAAAAAACTAGACACAATAGACATTTATACTACAACACACTAAGCAAGAACAGAATACACATTCTTCTCAAGCACTTAGAGAACATCCACCCAAGACAGTCTATATACTATACCATAACAGAAGATATAATAAATTTGAAAAGATTAAAATCACATAGTATGTATTTTCTAAGAACAGTGGAATTAAACTACAAATCACTAACAGAATAAAATTCAAGGAATTCACAAATATTTGCAAGTGTAATAGCACATTTCTAAATAGCTAATGGTAAAAGGAGGAATTAACAAGACAAAGTAGAAAATATTTAGGAGCTATGAAAATGAAAATACAATATACTAAAACATTGCTAAAGCACTGCTCAGAGGAAAAATTTATAGCTAGCTATAAATGTCATTAAAAAGAAATATCTCAAATCAGTAATGTAACTCTGTACCTCTAGAAACTACAAAAGAAGAGAAACTAAATCCAAAGCAAGCAGGACACAAAAAAGACAATAGCAGAGTGGAAATGGTGAAATAGAAAATACAAAAACAATAGAGAAAAATCAATGAAACCAAAAATTGTTTCTTTCTTCAAAAAGATAAAATTGACAAACCTTTAGCTAAACTGATGAAGAAAAATAGAAGACTCAGATTACTAAAATCAGGAATGAAAGAGAGGATATCACTACAGACCTTACAGATAAAAAGGATTATACAGCAATACCATAAACAACTGTATGTCAACACTTAGATTAGATAACCTATATGAAACGGACCAATTTCTAGAACGATATACAGAAGGAACTAAAACCCACTCAGATGAAAGAAAAAATCTGAATGGACTTAAAATAAGAGATAGAATTAGTAATGAAAAAACTTACCACTAAGAAAAGACCAGGTCAAGACAGCTTCACTGGTGCATTCTTCCAAACTTACAAAGAATTAATACCAGTCCTTCAAAAACTCTTCCAAAAAAGAGAAGGAACACTTCACAACTCATTATATGAGGCCAATATTACTCTGATACCAAAACCAGACAGATTTTTTTTTCTTTCAAAAGAAAGAAAAGCTACAGACCAATATACCTTATGAAAAATCCTAAAGAAAATACTAGCAAACAGACTCCGACAATGCATAAAAAAGATTATATGCCATGACAAAGTAGTACTTTTCCTAGAAATTTAAGATCAATTTAACATCCCCAAACCAATCAATCAATCAGTGCAATATACCACATTAAAAGGATGCAATTTAAAAACATACAAATCATTTTCGTAGGGACAGAAAAAGTATTTTGCAAAATTCAACAGCCTCTCATGATAAAAACACTAAAAAAATTAGGAACAGAATGGAACATCCCCAATCTACTGAAGTACATCTACGAAAAATCTACAGCAAACATCATACTTGATGGTGAAAGACTGAATGAAATTGCTCTAAGGTCAGGAACAAGACAAGGATATCCACTTCTATTTAACATTGTACAGGAAGATCAAGCCAAGCAATTAGAAAAGAAAAAGAAATAAAAAGCGTCCATATTGGAAAACACAGTAAACCTATTTTTATTTGTAGATGACAAGATCCTATATATAGAAAATCCTAAGAAATCTGGGGAAAAAACAATTGGAATTCATAAATTCAAAAAGTTCTCATAATATAAGATCAATATAAAAGGTCAATCATACTTCTCATTAGAAATGGACATTCTGAAAATGAAATTAAAAAAACAATTCCATTTAAAATAGTATCAAAAAACAATAAAATATTTGGGAATAAATTTTACAAGAGAAGGACAAGACTTATACACCACTACAAAACATTGTTGAAAAAATTGAAAAAGATCTAAATAAATGAAAAAAATCCCATTTTCATGGATTTGAAGACTTAATATTGTTAAGATGGAAATAATCTATAAATTGACAGATTTAATGTAACCTCTATAAAAATCCCAGCTGCCACTGTGCAGAAACTGACAGCTGATCCTAAATTTCATATGTAAAAAAAAGGAACCCAATAGGCAAAACAATCTTGAAGAAAGATAAAGTTGGAGGATTCATTCAATTTCAAAACACTATAATGCTAAAGTAATATGGTATACCACTGGTATAATAAGGCTGCATATACAGATCAATGGAATAGCATTGACAGTCCATAAATTAACCCATACATCTATGGTCATCTGATTTTCAACAATGGTGCTAAGATCATTCAATGGGGAAATAATAGCCTTTTTGACAAATGGTGCTGGGACAACCAAATATCCACATTCGGGTGAAGTTGGACCCCTACCTCACACCACACCACAAAAATTAACTCAAAATATATTATAAACATAAATGTTGGAGCTAAAACTATAAAACTCTTAAAACATATAAGTAAATCTTGATCTTGGGTTAGATAATATTTCTTAGATAACACCAAATGCACAGTGACAAAAAATATATAGAAATATTGAACTTCATCAAAATTTAAAGCTTCTGTGCTACAAACAATACTGTCAAGAAAAGAGAACTCACAGACTGGGAGAAAACATTTGCTAATCATACATTAGATAAGGAATTTGCATCCAGAACATATAAAGAACTCTTACAACTCAGTGACAAGGAGATGAAAAACCCATTTAAAAATTAGGCATCAACGATAAAAAAAAAAGACCAAAAAAGCTATTAAAAAATGGTCAAAGGATAGGAATAACTAGTTCTCCAAAGAAGTTACACAAACATCCAATACACACAAAATGATGCTTACCATTATTAGCTATCAGGGACAGGCAAATCCAAACTACAATGAGATACCACTTCACCTGTAGTAGGAGAGCTATTATCAAAGGACAGATAACAACAAGTACTGGCAAAGATATAGAGAAACTGGAACCTTCATATAGTGCTAAGTAGGATTTCTGAAAATGCAGAAGAGTTGGAACACATCTTTGCAGTTCTTCAAAAGAATAAATATAGAATTGCCATATGATCCAGCAATTTCACTCCTAGGTATATATCCAAGAGAAATAAAAGAATATGTCCATATAAAAGCTTGTACATGAATGTTCATTACAGCATTATTCATAATGACCAAAATGTGGGAAAAAACTAAAACAACTGATGAATAGATAAATAAAATATGGCATTAAAATACAATGGACTGTCAATAAAAAGAAGCCATATACTGATACATGATATACAACATGGATAAGCCATGAAAATATAATGCTAAATGAAAGAAGATAGCCATAAAACACCACACATATTGTATAATTCCATTTGTATGAAATGTCCAGCATAAACAAATCGATAGAGAGAGAAAGAATAGTAGTTGTTTATGGCTGAGTTTGGAGATTTGGGATCTCCAAACTCAGATTTGGGAGATGAGGAACGACTACTGCTAACAGGTACAAAAAAAGTGTTCTAAAATTAGACTGTGGTTAGTGCTGGTTGCACAACCCTGTGAATATATCATAAAAATAATGAGCAGTGAGTCCCCATTTAACATCATCAATGTTTTCTTAGAAAAAGTGACTTTAAGTGAAACGACATATAATGAAACTGATTTTACCATATGCCAACCGATATAAACAAGACTTAAGTTCCTATGGCATACTTCTGGTCACAAAAATGACATTAAACTTCTAAATTAAGACCCAAACACTTCTAATACTAAACATTAAAATAAAAGTGAGATATACATACTTTTTTTTTTTTTTTTTTTGAGAAAGAGTCTCTCTTTGTTGCCCAGGCTAGAGTGAGTGCCATGGTATCAGCCTAGCTCACAGCAACCTCAAACTCCTGGGCTCAAGGGATCCTACTGCCTCAGCCTCCCGAATAGCTGGTGCTACAGGCAGGCGCCACCATGCCCGGCTAATTTTTTCTATATATACTAGTTAGCCAATTAATTTCTTTCTATTTATAGTAGAGACTGGGTCTTGCTCTTGCTCAGGCTGGTTTCGAACTCCTGACCTCAAGCAATCTGCCTGCCTCAGCCTCCCAGAGTGCTAAGATTACAGGCTTGAGCCACCACGCCCGGCCAAGAGATATACATACATTTAAGATTACTAAAAACAAGTAAAATAATTATTTGCTCAATTTTTGGTGAATCAGTGAGTGAGAACAGTCACAGCGGTGGTAGGTTAAATCAAGGTATAAATGTTTGCAAAGCAAAATTGCAAGGAGCACCTCCTACCACTACACAGTTTGAAAACAAGCAATAACAAATATAGTGAGCTGAACAATTTATACTACATTGTTTATTGTCATGCATTTGTATTTGATTACATACTTTATAAATTTTTATTTGATAATAATTTATATTCATTCATTCATTCATTCATTCATTCATTCACTTTCCAAGTTACTGCTTGATGCTTATTCCAGTTCAGGGTCATGGGTGGGCAGAGACTAACCCAGAGGCTCAGGGTGCAAAAGCAAGAACCAATTCTGGACAGGACTCACACACACAACCACACTCACTCAGATTGGCACAATTTGGACAAGCCAATTAACCTAACATGTACATGTTGGGGATGTGAGAGGAAACCAGAGTACCCAAAGAAAACCCAAACAAACATGGGGAGAATGTGCAAACTCTCTACAGATGGTGGCCCAGAATTGGAGTCAATTTTTTTCTCATCAATGTTGTAACAGAACAATGTTTAACAAAACAATGTTATTCAAGGACCTGCTGTATTGCATACTATAAATGAGTGAATTATATGGTATGTGAATTATATCTTAATAATGGTGTTAAATGAAAAAGAAAGCAAAAAAGGAAAATTCTTTTTATGCAATATCATATTGCAAATTTTACAAATAAAACAAGCCTATGTGAGGAAAAAGGAAAAAAGTATACACTTAAAAATATTTTACATGAAACACTCTTACCTCCAGTACTGATTTCTACTTCTGTAGAATCTCTCTCCAAACTCCCAGCGCTGCTAACAATATTCATCAGATGGATCGCAGTCCAGGCAAAAGGCATGCGATATTTCCCAAGTCTTTGGCAAAACTGATCAGCTTGACTTTTCAGCTTCTCCAATTTTTCCTTATTCTGCAAACCAGAACTTTATACATTATATGATTACACTTGAAAGCAATCAACTAAAGGCTATTTCATACTATAAAAAGGACAGGTTAAGAATTTCATTTCTCAGCAAAGATAGAAAAACTATTGGTACCTTTCAGAAATCAAGTAACAATGTATTATCTAAACCACTGAACAAAGTCAACACATTCTGCAAATGTATGCATAGAGTAAGTCTTTAAAACTTGTTTGTGATTATGTTATTCTTTGGAGAAAAAAAGGAGAGCAAGTGCCAAACATGTATTATGTGTCCCAAGTATTATTTTTGGAAAGGAAGCATACCAAGGTCTAGCTAGCAACTGGTAACCATAAAATATTTTGTTATAATTTGTTAAATTTTTTAATCTGTAAAAGATGGAAGCAACTGAGCCCATCTGAAACAGTCCCTAACTTACAACAATGATAAGGTGGTGGGGGTGACACACAAATAAGCCAATGATAAGTAAGCTAGGAATTGTAATAAAAGAAGCAATGAAAAAAGTATAAGAGGACTATACCCTGAAAAAAAAAATAGTCTAAACAGTACATGCATATCTCAAAGACTTCTTGAGGCTGGCTCAACTTTCAGGCTATTCTTGAAACAAACATTAAGGTGGCCTGAAACAGCCAACGAACACTTTAAGACTAAAAACCTATACCACCTCTTTCACACACTCTTTGCAAATAGGATGTTGGTGAGGTATATTCCAATGACAATGCCCTATCTTGGGACTCAGGGCTGGGAAAATATGGAACAATAGTTAAATGGTAGCACTGTTTATATCTATTTTACCACCAAAACAGATTCTTGCTTAAAGAGCCTACATATCAAGTATATTTAACCCTATCTGTCTATGTAAATATGTAAGTTAAGAGTAGAATAAGCTACTAGCATACTTACAAGTTCCATCTAACAGAACAAATTTAATTTGTAAAATGACGACCTGGGGAAGCCAGAATACTATTATTTTAACTCTTGAGTTCAACCAGATAGCCAAGGATCAGAGAAAAATACCATGTGCTCAGATCTACCTATATTAGTGAAAAAAGCTCAGTTCTTGTTCTGAATCTCAGGAAAAGAGAAAGCAAAACATATTCTAGATTTTGGTAGATTGTTCAGTATTTCTCAAGCATACCTTTCCTAGCAGTTCCAGTATTAAATCTTGTATTCAAAGATCACCTGTAGTCTGGTAGCTAATTCAGGGTAACTTAAATTTGATATCAATTATTCAATTCTTTTGCATTTATACGTTTATTTAAATTCTAGAAATTAGTCGCCTGATGCAAAAGAGATTGTATTTTCTATTTTTACAATATCCCTTATTTGCAGCCATATGAAAGCCAAGGATACTTGTTTTGCTAGAAAAAGTGTTATCAATATCACTATTTTGTAAATAAGGAAAATTTTTAATTATGTAGGAGTTAAACTGAATTAACTTAGTTCTCTCCAAGAAAAAAAAATTTAAAGAATCAATTAGTTTTGAGATAGGGCAGATTTTAAGGACTAGAACAGCACATGACACAAACTAGAAGACAAAGGAAATAAAGAAAAAAGGAAGATAGGAAGTAGGCCAACAGAAAAAAATGAATTAGTAGTAAACTTTTTTTAATACGCTTTGTATAGTATTCTCCCAAATTAAAATGGTAATAATGTGGGAGAACTAGAAGCATGACATTCTACCTTGGTGGCATCTGCTTCTTTGAAAATCATATATGGTTCTGCACACTCTCCAATATCTCCTTGCTGTAGAACTTTTTCTAGCTGTTAAAGGCAAAAAAATAAAGATTAATTAAGCATTAAAAAGTCAGCCTAAACTGCAAGGATGGTTCGATATCCAAAAAGCCAGGCACAATGGCTCATGACTGTAATCCTAGCACTCTGGGAGGCTGAGGCAGGAGGATTGCTCAAGATTAGGAGTTTGAGGTTGCAGTGAGCTATGACGACACCACTGTACTATAGCTGGGGTGACAGAGCGAGACCCTGTCTCAAAAAAAAAAAAAAAAAAAAGCAATGTAATATATCACATTTACAGATTGACAGAAAACAAAAAAATACATGATCATCTCAACTGATATAGCACAAACTTTGGAAACCACCCTCAACATAATAAAAGCCATGTAAGAAAAGCTTATAGCCAATATCATACTCAAAGGTAAAATACTAAAAACTTTTCCTCTAAAAACAGGAACAAAAAAGGATGCCCACTTTAACCACTTCTTCTTCTTTTAATTTTTTTTAGGCATCATCTTACTCTGTCTCACAGGCTAGAGTACAGTGGCATCATCATAGCTTACTGTAACCTCAAACTCCTGACGCTCAAGTGATCCTCCTGCCCCAGCCTCCAGAGCAACTTGGGTTACAGGCGTGCGCCATCATGATTGGCAAATTTTTCTTTTTTTTGTAGAGATGGGTCTTGCTCTTGCTCAGCTAATCTCGAACTCCTAAGCTCAAGCAATCCTCCTGCCTTGGCCTCCCAAACTGCTAGGATTACAGGTGTAAGCCACCACAACCGGCCTACTTTAGCCACTTCTATTCAAAATAGCACTAAATATCCAAGCCAGAACAATTAGGCAAGAAAACTAAATAAAGGCATCTGAATTGGAAAGAAGTAAAATTATCTCTGCAGATGACATGATCTTTTACATGGAAAAATCTAAAGATTCAACAAAAAAATTGTTAGAATAAATGAATTCTTGAATGAATAAATGAAAGTTATAGGATACAAAATCTACACGCTAACAATGAGAAATCCAAAAAGAAAATTTAAAAGAAAAATATTTCTAATTTTGGTAGGAATGTAAAATGATATACTTCAATAAACGTACCAGAAACAAATAAAATTAATGAATTAAAATGTAAAATAAAATAAAATCTGATGATAGCAAGTGTTAAGAAGGAAACGGAGCAATTAAAATTCTCAAACACTGCTAATGGGAGTTAAACTCTACTAACCATTTTGAAAAACTGGCTGTTTCTATTAAAACTGAAGACATAAATATCTTCTGTTGCAATAATTCAACCCCTATAGATACCCAATAGAAATGCAAACACATTTGTTCCAAAAGTCATGTACAAGAATGTTTCTAGCGGCATTATCTGTAATAGTCAAAAGCAGTACAGACATCATATTGAAAGAAGCCAGGCACAAACTATATATATACTAAATGATTGCATTCATATGAAATTCAAGAAGAGGAAAGCTAAATGATGGTAATGGAAGTTGGAATACTAGTTATCTGGCAGAAGGGAGGGGTAGTGACTATAAAGAGAAAACAAGAGAACTCTCCAGGGTGATGGGAATATTGTGTAGCGTGAGCTCAGGAGTAGATACACCGATGAATACATGTATAATATAATTCTTCAACCTTTTTCCCCTAGATATTTATACTGTATGGATCACATTGTATATATTTTATATTTCAATTTTTTAAAATTGATAAATACCAAGTATGAATAACTGAAACTCTTATTCACTGCTGATGGGAATGCAACTATCACAGGTACTTTGGAAACCTGTTTGGCAGCATCTACTAAAGCAGACACACATTCTATGACTTAGCAATTCTACTCCTAGGAATATACTAAACAGAAATGAGTATAAATGCCTATTTCCTCACAAACTGGAAATGTTCACAGAATTACCAAAAAAGCCACAAACTTAAATTAACCAAAATGTCCACCAGCAGTAAGATGGATAAACTGTGATATATTCACACAATAAAATACTACAAAGCAATGAAAATGAATTTAAAACTGCTGCATACAACATGGATTAATCAAACAATCATATTGAGTAGAAAAAAGGGAGACAAAAATATACAATCCTGTTTGATTCCATTGTTATAGTGTTCAAAAACAGGCAAAAATTGTGAAAGAGGGAGGAAACAGTGAATGGAATGGGTCATGGTGGTTTCTGAAATCTGCTAAGTAAGTAAATTTGTTTGTTTGTCTGTTTGTTTGTTTATTTGAGACAGGGTCTTGCTCTGTTTCCTGGGCTAGAGTGCAGTGGCGCCATCATAGCTCACTGCAACCTAAACTCCTGGGCTCAAGGGATCCTCCTGCCTCAGCCTCCTGAATAGCTGGGACTACACAGGCATGTACCACCACGCCTGTTAATTTTCTTTATTTTTTTGTAGAGACAGAGTCTCGCTATTGCCTGGTCTTTAACTCCTGGTCTCAAGCAATCCTCCTGCCTGGGTGCTAGGATTACAGGCTCTCTTAACACTCTACTTCTTAACCTGGGTGGGTGGTCACATAGTGTGTTCATTTTGGGATAATTAATCAAACTATATACTTATAACTTGTGTTGTTTCTATAATTATGTCATATGTCAATAAAAATTAATTAAAATAACTTTCAGTGAACTTTATTAACATTACCTTATTGTAATCCAAGTTTTTGTTCTCTAAAATGGCACATACACATAAACAACAACACAAACATAGCAGTGTAACCCCTTCACATACTTACCAGAAAGTAATTATGCCAATAAAGAAAGCACAAAAATAAGCAAGGAATTAATAATCCTGGCTGAACCAGAACCCTAGCATCCCAGACAGTGATAGACAGAATTACAGGTAATAGCCCCAATTTTAACCTTTCCTTTATACTTCACTTTGCTATATTATACTGCAGTTATTCCTAATAAAGAGACCAAGTGTATATCCCAATTCCCTGAGTTTATGCTCTGTCATGTGACCTGTTTTGGCCAATAGAATGTTAGCTGGCATGATATGTCTAAAGACTTGAAAAGCACGTGTGCAACTGTGTCTGCCGTGTGGCACTTCTGCAATCACCACGAGAATATGCCAGGCTACCCTGCTAGAAAAGAAGAGATATACAGAAGAACAACTCTGGCTAAATCAACTGACACCCACCCACCTACACACACACACACACACACACACACACACACACACACACTGCCAACCGACAGACACTTGAAAGGAGTACAACCAAATCAACCAAGTATAGCCTAGACTGGCTGACCAACAGACAACTAAGATGCATAAACTAAAATGCTGATTGTTGTATCCCACTGGAGTTTTGTCTTTTTGTTCTTATACACCAATAACGGATACACATACCAAGGAAATTTTTCTCTCAAGAAACAAAATCATCCTGATGGACCATTAAGTGATGAAAGAAAATTGCTAAATGTATTTCCTTTAAAAAAGTTTTTTGTTTTTGAGACAAAAGAGTCTTGCTCTGTTGCCCAACCTATAGTATATCAGCGTCATCATAGCTCACTACAACCTCAAATTCCTAGGTTTAAGTGATCCTCCTGCCTCAGCCTCCCAAGTGGCTGGGACTACAGATGCACACCACTACACTCAGCTAATTTTTCTATTGTTTTCTTCTGTAAAGATGAGGTCTTGCTATGTTGTTCAGGTTGGTCTCAAACTCCTCCTCATATGATCCTCCTGCCTAAGCCTCTCAAAAGAAGTGCTAAGATTACAGGCATGAGCCACAGTGCCCCAGCCTTAAAATTTAAATAACAATTTCACTTGTCTTTTTTTTTGAAATTACAGAAAAATCTTTTTCTACGTATATACATACATTTAAGTGTACATACATATATATTTTACACTAGTGGGATCGTACAGTATACAGTTTCGTACTACTTATTTTTTACTAAACATTATATTATGCATACATTTCTACACCATTAGAAATTTTTCCAAATTGTGATCTTTTTTTTTTTTTTTTTTTTTTTTTTTGAGACAGAGTCTTGCTCTGTCACCTGGGCCAGAATGCTGTGGTATCAGCCTAGCTCACAGCAACCTCAAACTCCTGGGCTCAAGTGATTCTCCTGCCTCAGCCTCCTCAGCCTCCAGAGTAGCTGGACTACAGGCGCACGCTACCACACCCTGGTAATTTTTCTATTTTTAGTAGAGCCAGGGTCTCGCTCTTACTCAGGCTGGTCTTGAACTCCTGAGCTCAAGCAATCCTCCCACTTTGGCTTCCCAGAGTGCTAGGATTACAGGCGTGAACCTGGCCTCAAATTGTGATTTTAATGGCCATAGTATTAGAGCATAGGAATGTACCATGATTCATCTCTCCATTTCCTTATATTGAACATTTACATTGAATGTTTCTTATCTTTAATCCTATCTAAGCTATTCATTCTCATGATAACCAAATCTTGTCATTAAATAATCTTGTTTCAAGCAACCAATATTCCAGCCATCATCTCTATCTTACCAACTCATTCCTTTTAATATGTTCTATTTTATGAAAACCTATTTTCCCCATGTAAAGTAACTATATATTTTTGTCACTTATATTCATTTCTAGAACTTAACTTTACTTTTTAAGTGAGCTTCTGAAGACCACTGCTACTAAATCATTACTGTTCATTTTAACTAAGACTTATTTTAACCTGAATTCATAGGAATGTATCCACAAATTAGGACATTGTTCCTGTGGGCAAACAGATTCGTTTCATAATCTACTTTATAACCTTATTAAAATTCATTACCTCTTTATGACAATTTTATATAAATAAAGATAAAGTGATTAAGGAATATATTTTAGGCTAATCCCAAGTCAAAGTCAAGTTAAGGTAAATTATTTTTTAAGTTACACTAAACTAAGTAGCTTAGTAATACTGAGATTTTAGAATTTGTAATTCTTATTCTTAATTGGCTGACAGTCAAATCATAATGCTTTCTGACATCAATGATTTAGCTTTTAGTATTTATACCATTTAGGAATTGAATGATAAAATTATAGTATAGCTCCCGTGATGATTAATTTTATGTGTCAAATTAGCTAAGCAATCATACCCAGTTGTTAGGTCAAACACCAGTCTGGATGTTGCTGTGGAGGTATTTTTTAGAGGTGATGAACATTTAGAGCAATAGACTTGGAATAAAGCAGATTACTCTTCTTATGTAGATAGAACTCATCCAAGTCCTTACAAGCAGAACTTACGAGCAAAGACTGAGGTCTCCTAAAGGAGGAATTCACCTCAAGAGTGTAACTTAGAAATCCTACCTGAATTTCTGGTCTACCATCCCATGGAATTCAGAGTCAAGACTACATCAGTTCAACTCTTACCTGGATTTCTAGTCTGCTGGCCTGCCCTACAAATTGCAGACTCACCAGCCCCCAGAATTGTGTGAGTCAATTTCTTAAAATAAATCAATTTATCTTCCCCATTCCTCTCTCAGTATAGATAGGTAGATACATACATAACATATAGATATACAGATATATATCTCCTATTAGTTTTGTTTCTCTTGAGAATCCTGACTAATACAGCTCCCCATTCAAGAAAAATTGGGTGACACTTACAATGTATGTCCAATATTGTGTTAAGGAATATCAAGAAGAAAAAAATTAAGTAAAGGCCAAATCCTTGGTCTTGAAAAGTTTGTAATATTGATATAGAGACAAATAAACAGACATTACACAAATAAATAAATATATTTAACATTATTCTCACCTTTATTACAAGAAAAACATCTTGGGAGGGATAAGTGATAGAAAAAATAGCTGATCTTGCCAGGGTGGTTATGGCAGCAGGTGGTACATGTGGACGTAACAATCCTTTCATCTGCTCAGAATTAAGGTCAAAATAAAAGTTTTCTGAAATCTAAAAAATACATGTATTAAAATATTTAAAATTCATTTGTTAAATTTTTAAATCTGTACATTTTTTAAAACTCACAAAAATCATACATATTCAGTATTAAAATATTACAGATAGTAGGACATTATACTCTAAACCACTGTTTATCTTATATTTCCCTGAGATCAACCTTTACATGTTTAAATCAAAGTAAAAGAAGTATACAAACTATCTGGAAAATGTAATAAACATATTCTAAAGAATAATATACCAAACTCTATTAAAAATATAACTTCTAATAAAATATACAAAGAAATTATCACTGAGATGATTACAAATTGAGTTTTTAAAAAATTACATAAATATTATCTCAGCAGTTTTGATTTACCAAATGCAAGTCTCAGAGCAGAGTTTCATTAAAGAAATCCATAATATGTCATATGCTGACAGCAAAAGTCACTGAAGGCACTTCAGGTTTCTGCTACATATTAGGATTAGAACATTATTTTCAGAAATGCTGTCATGCACTAGCCCTCTGAAAAATTCCTAAATAAAATAAAGCTATGATAGTAAAAACTAAGGGCATTAAGATAGAATATTTAAAATATACAAAAATGGACTTTTCAGCTGGTAAAATTTGAAATTTGCTTTTCTTGTATTATCTTTTCTAGTTCTTAAAAGAAAGTTGCTTCTGCTACTTGCTTTGAAACAAAAAAAGTTAAAAAAAAGTTTTCCAACCAAAGTATTTTGTAAGAAAATATTTAACTAGTCTTAATAAATTAAATCTCTGTCATTTTTTAAAGATCCATGCCTAATAATTCTCAAAAAAATCCATTATTTATTTATCTTATAAAACAACTTAAAAACAGGTTTCTGAAACCTACAATTGTAACAAATGACTATGGTCTAATTATATAACCTTACCTTTTTCTTTTCCTTGACATCATATAAAGCCAAACTTGCAAAAATGGGTTCAATTTCAATTTCAAACCTTTAAGAAAAAAAGGATAAAATAATTTAAAAGTAAATATAACAGATATAGCTAGAAAGAAATCCTAATTCCAAAGCCAATTATTGCAATACCTTGCACTTTTCATCTATGCCTTTGCCTACACTACATATTCTTCCTGAAATACACTTTTCTATGCATATCTTTCACAGTCTAAATTAACCATTATCTTTAGTTAACCCTCCTTAATACCTCCAGCTAAAATTGATCTCTAACTGCCTAAAAGCATCATGGCATTTTATGTCCATTCTGAGGCACTAATCAATTTCTAACCTATAATTTGGTTATTTATATGTACAGATATCTTCATTTTAACATAGGTTTTAAAAATAAAGGCCTATATGTTTTCTTTTTCAGATTATAAATATTATATTCCATGTAAAAAATCTCAGAAAATACATTAAAATATTCAGAAGAAAACAAAAGCATCCAAAGAACCATAATTAACAGTTTAATGCCTAATACAACCAGACTTTATGCATACATGCACTTGTTAAATGGATTTTTTTTTAAACAAAAAGAATCATGGTATACATATTTTATAGTCTGCCTTTTTAACCTTTTATGGACAAATTTCCATGTCATATATAATCTTGCCATCATTTCTAAGGCTGACATGGTAATTCCCATTATATGAATATGCCAAAATTTATTTTATAACTGGATACTTCAGTGAGATGTATAATTCATTTCTAAGAAAAATGACTTAAAAAGAGTAAACATTTAGTAAATATTTGTTGAATGAAATAATATGTGATGTGAGGTTAACTAAAACTCTAGAGCAGTGGTTCTCAACCAAGGACAATTTTGTTCCCAAGGGGATATCTGCCAATACCTAGACATTTTTGGTTATCAAAACTATGAAAGTATTAGTCACATTTAGCTGGTAGAGGCTCAAGATGTGACTAAACATCCTATATTGTACAGGACAGCCTCTAACAACAAAAAAAAATCCAGACAAAAATATCAATAGTGCTGAAGTTGTAATAGCCCTGCTCTACATTGCTCATTTTACATTATAAGAATATCAGTTAAAGTACTTATAGGAGACAGACAACATATTCACACTGGGTTGAGTGTTTAAAAAAGGACATTTACAATGATTTGGGCAGGATCTAGGTTAAACAACTACACAGAGTGCTACTCCCTGGGGCTAGCAAAAGCAGGAGTTATTATCAACCACAGACCTGAAAACAAACATAAAAGTGGCTGCTGAAAATCAGAAAGGATAGCTGTATAGAACATCCTGCACAGAAACCGTGGCCTTGGAGAAAAGGAGGCAACTGATCTAAGTGACTCAACAGGAAAGGAGTAAGGGAAATAAATTCTCACTGAGCTCACTCTCTCCCACCCTCTAACTTCCTGCTAATACTTCTCTTAGTAAAACCCAACCAGAAGCCAAAAGACTTTATTCAAAAGTCCCAAAACAATAATTGTTGGTGTAGATGTGGAGAGATAGGAACACTCCCACACTGCTGGTGGGACTGAAACTACTTCAACCTCTGTGGAAAGCAATATGGAGATAGCTTAAAGCGATACAAGTAGATCTACCATTTGATCCAGCAATCCCATTGCTGGGCATCTACCCAAAAGAACAAAAGACACTCTATAAAAAAGACATCTGCACTCGAATGTTTGTAGCACCACAATTCACAATTGCAAAGATGTGGAAACAACCCAAGTGCCCATCAATACATGACTGGATTAATAAAATGTGGTATATGTATACCATGGAGTACTATTCAGCTTTAAGAAACAATGGTGATATAGCACCTCTTATATTTTCCTGGATAGAGCTGGAACCCACTCTACTAAGTGAAGTATCCCAAGAATGAAAAAATAAACACCACATGTACTCACCAGCAAATTGTATTAACTGATTGACACCTACATGGACATATAGGAATAACATTTACCGGACAACGGGCAAATGGGAGGGGGGAGGTGGGGATGGGTGGATACATACACAATGAGTGCAAGACACACCGTCTGGGGGATAGACACACTTGAGGCTCTGACTCCGGTGGGGAAGGCAACACACGTAACCTAAACATTTGTACCCTCATAGTATACTGAAATTGAAAAAGAAAAGAAGCCAAAAGAAAAGAAATGGTTCCTAGGTGATCCTGTCCACGTGTCAGCCTCTACAAAACCTACTCTGCATCCTCTACAATATTGGATACCGTCAGTCTTTTTGATTTTGGCCAATCCAGTGGGTAAGTGGTATCACACCCATCTTTTCATATATTTATTGAATATCCTCTTTTAGCCCATTTTTCTATTTATTGTTTGACTTATTCCTTGTCAGTCTTTACTTCTTTATGTATTATGAAACACACTGTTAACTGTATGTGTTGGAAATATCTTCTCCACTATGGTCTACCTTCACTCTCTTGTGTCTTTTGATAAACAAAAGTTGTCCGTTTTAATGAAGTAAAATGTATCAATGTTTTCCTCTAGGGGTAGTGCTGTCTGTGTCAGGTCAAAGAAATCTTTCCTTTCTATAAGATCATGAAGATATCCCTATATTGCCTTCTAGAAACTTTACTGTTTTGCCTTTCACATTTAGGTCTACTATCAATCTGCAAATAATTTTTTGTGTATGATGTGATGTAGTGGTCAAATCTTATTTTCTCATATATGTGCATATATGTATATATGTGTCTATATACACATATATAATGAGAAACAGAGATAAAAAGAGACAGAAAGGAAGGGAGATGCGGTTGAGGGACATAGACAAAAAGAAACAGATATCCAATTGTCCTGCCAATTTACTGAAAAGAGTACCCTTTCCATACTGCTCTATTTTTAGGAGAGATAGGGTCTCACTCTTGCTCAGGCTGGTCTCAAACTCCTGGCCTCAAGCAATTTTCCCACCTCAGCCTCTCAACTTTTTTTCTCTTTTTAAATATATATTCTTCATGCATTCAGTACACAAGTTAGTAACTTCAGACAAAAGCATACTATATTATTCCCATACTATCAAACATAGGCATGCTCGAGTTTATCAAGAAATGTTATTTATCTGGGAGGCCGAGGCAGGTGGATTGCTTGAGGTCAGGAGTTCGAAACCAGCCTGAGCAAGAGCAAGACCCCCGTCTCTACTATAAATAGAAAGAAATTAATTGGCCAACTAATATATATAGAAAAAATTAGCCGGGCATGGTGGCACATGCCTGTAGTCCCAGCCACTCAGAGGAGGCTGAGGCAGAAGGATTGCTTGAGCCCAGGGGTCTGAGGTTGCTGTGAGCTAGGCTGATACCACGGCACTCACTCTAGCCTGGGCAACAAAGCGAGACTCTGTCTCAAAAAAAAAAAAAGAAAAGAAATGTTATTTGAAGACCAGCCATACACAATGGCTACTAAACTGCAAAGAAAGTATTTATTTTTTTACTCACTGTAAATGTAATACCATACATACTCATTTATTTAAAACATTGAGAATACAAAAACATAAAAGAAAAATATAATTTTTAATTACCCAGAAGAAATTACTGATAAAATTTGACTTATTTTCTTTAGACTTTTACAAAATTGGGTGTTTTCACATATTTGCTTACGAACAATTATAATACAGTTTTAAAATTTTATCAATGTTTTGACTATTTTGACTTAAAGTGAATTTTGTCTGATATTAATATTGTTCTCTCAGTTTTCATTTGGTGAATATTTGACAATTAAGTCTTAATATATATTTTTACTTTCAAACTTTCAGTTGCTTGTATTATATCAATTTCTTATTTTATTAAAAATCATATAACTGAGGTTTTTTAAGGCATTCTAATAATCTTTCTCTTTAAATAGATAGTTTAAGTCCATTTATACTTATTTTCAAAACTTATATTTGGATTCATTTCTAGCAACTTATTATTATTATTATTCTATTTTTTTCTGCGTGTTTTTCCATTCTTGCCTCCTTTTTGGATTGGCTAATTTTCCCCCTTTGTCTATAAATTACATTTCTACTTTTTAATGGTTATCTAAGAACTTTTAAAGTACATAATTAACTTAAAAAGTATAATCTTAACCAATATCTTTACTATCTTCCCCCAAAATAAGACCTTAGAATGCTTTAGCCCTAAGCACTCCATTGTTATCAATACATTGTTATCAATTTTGAGTTTTACCTTAATTATTTTAACCTCATAAACTAGACATTATTACAGTGAACACTGAGGTTTATCCTATGTTTTCCATTTCTTTGCTCATTCCTTCTTCTATCTAAAATGCTTCTCCCAAAATATTTCTTCAGAAGTTACAATTTTAGTGATAAATTGTTAAGAAACACTTCTAGTCTTTGTCAGTCTAAAACATTTATTTACCTCAGCATTTGCAGGAGATTTCAAAAAATGAACACAAATCCTTGGCATTCTCATTAAGGGATAATCTATTTCCACACATCTTGAATTTAGGCTAGCCTTGTCATGTTTTGATTTATAAATGATATGTTGTAAGAGTTCTCATCCAAGGCCACAAGGAGCTTATAGCTTCCACTCTCTTCTTGCTGGAAATCCTTTCATCACTACACAGACAAGTCTAGGTTAGCCTACTGGATAATGAGAGAAGCATGGCTACTTCCCCAGTTGGCATTACACGAACTGCGAAACATATAAGTAAGAAATTCCAGGGGGGGAAATGGGCATTTACTGAAACCTTAAAATCTGTACCCCCACAATATGCCGAAATAAAAAAATATATATATAAAAAAAAAAAAAGAAAGAAATTCCTAAACTAATCTGTCTGCCAACTGCTAGACATATAAGTTAGGCCCTTATATTAAATAGATCATATAGTTACAAATAAATTGGCTCACACTATAAGAACTACTTATATAACCCACAGAATCATGAGAAATATTGAATATCTGCTGTTTTAAGATATTACATTTTAAGGTGGTTTGTAGCATAGCAAAAACTGTTTGAAGAGTATGTTTCATGGAAGATAATTTTACTGAGTATAAAATTCATGGTTGACAGCTATTTTCTCTTACACTGAAGATATCACTCAATGTCTTCTGGCTCCCATTGCTGCTGTGATAAACCAGCTGTTGGATAATTGTAATTTCTTTGCATACAATCTCTTTTTATCTCTGCTCCTTTTAATATATTCTCTTGGTTTTTGGTGTTCTGCATTTTACTATGTTTGGTCTAGGTGTTAATTTATTTTTATTTATTCCCCCTGGACCCCACTAGAAATCCAGAATTGAGAGTTACTACTGTTTCATGAATTCTGAACAATTCTCAGTCATTATTTCTTCAATAATTGTTTTCCTCTTCCCTAAGTTACATCCATTATGGAATTCCAATTAGACTTTTTGTTGATATTCCTTTTGTATTTCCCATCTATTATGTCTCTATGCACATTCTATGTGAATATATGTTTAGTTTTATCTTCCAGTTCACTTATTCACGCTTTAGTTTTATCTAATCTGTGTTTACCACACCTAAATGGGTAGATCAAATGACTCTTTTTACAATCCTCCTGGTCAATTCTGAGACTCTCTTGCTCCTTTATAATTTTTTTAAAAATTACCATTTACTTAAATATATTAAAAATACCTATTTTATATTTTAAATCTGACTGATAGTCCTTTGCAGGTCTATAGTTTATTTTGGCATTTTTCTTGATTTATGACTAGAATTGGAACTTTATCTGTAGAAATCTTTTGAGACCTAGGTTTTAAGTGGTTTCCTCCCAAAATAATTGATGTTTCTGCCAGGTTCCTAGGGCTACCAGAAATCTGGAACCATATTGTTTTTTTATTTTATTTTATTTTATCATATTATGGGGGTACAAATATTGTTAGGGTTACATATATTGCCCCTGCCATTCCTCCCCCCACACCCCTGGAACCATTTTAAATTGAATTTCTGCCTTGAAGTTTTCTGAACCACACAGATAATATGCAAGCTTATGGCTAGGAATTTTCAGTTTTCTCTATATTTTCTTTCTCCTGTTGCCTGTCTGACTTCTCCCTGCCAAAGCCGAAGTTATGACAAATAACTCTACCATTTTTAATATTACTCCTATGACATTTGGTGTTAGCCATTTATGCAGAAGTCTGTTTCCACCCTGTTTGAATATCAAGCCCTTTCCCTTGGGTAGCCCATTAAAACAAGGATGGGCAGTAGTCCTAATATAAAAATTAGCTAGAGAGCGCTGTGAAATTATGATTTCTTAGCATTTCTAGGCTTCCAAGAAATTCTTATCAGTTTGACCATGCCTGGGTAGTTACTTCCCTGAATGTCTAGACCACTGTACTACTGACTAACAGTCTTCTTACTATTAGAAACAATTTCATCATGGAGGATAAAAGAAGGCTATTCTTGGAGAATAAAATGTAAGAGAAATTATTTTCAAGAATTTATCAGTCTCAAAAAAAAAAAAAAAAAAGAATTTATCAGTCTCTATAATTAACTAAAATACAGCTACCATTTCTGACTCTTTCTGAACTTATAAAGTGACCTCAAGTTCTTCTCCACCTTAAACCTGAATTTTTCTTATCATAGATAAATCAGATGTATATAATTCTTAGTTCAGAGTTTTTAATAAGGGCTGATCAAATGAAAGCTAAGGAAAATATAATTATGTGAAAAACCATTCTATCTTTTCTCTAAGGAAAAAATAACTTGTAACTTTTACTAGTCAAGAAGATTATAAATAAAACTGCAATGACACACCACTTCACACCTACTAGAATGGCTATGATCAAAAAAACAGACAATAACAAGTGTTGGTGAAAGTGTAGAGAAATTAGAATCCTCATAACTTGCTGGTGGGAATATAAAATGGTGCACAGCTGCTTTGGAAAACAGTCTGGATAATTCCTCCAAAAGTTAAACATGGGGCTACCATACCAACCATAATTCCACTCTTAGGTACATACGCAAGAAAAATGAAAACATATATGCCACAAAAACTTGCACACAAATTATGAACATAATAGTAGAAACAATTCAAACGTAGTAGTAGAAACAATTCAAATGTTCATTAACTGATGAACAGATAAACAAAACGTGGTGTAATCTATCTAATGGAACATTATTCAGCAATAAAAAGAAATAGCAGTACTGACACATACTGCAACATAGATAAAATTTGAAAACATTAGGAAAACTAAGTAAAACAAGCCAAACACAAAAAAAGCACATATTGTATGATTCCATTATAGGAAATATTTAGAGTAAGAAAATCTACAGAAACAGAGAGTACATTGGTGGTTGCCTAGGGCTGGAGGAATTAGGCAAAACAGAGAGTGACTGCTAACAGGTAGGGGATTTCTTTTTGGGGTGATGAATGTACCCTAAAATTTATTGTGATGATAGTTGCAAGATCTGAAATGTATTAAAACCCATTGAATTGAACACTGGCAAACTGACTGAATTCACTGATGAATTGTACACTGGATAGACTTGAGTGAAATGCATAATATGTGAATTATATCTCAATAAAGCTATTATTTTTTTTAAAGCAAAAACAACCCAAATGTTTGTCAAATGATGAACAGATTTACAAAATGTGGTGTACCCACACAGTAGAATATTGGTCAGCCATATAAAGAAATGAATGGCTGGGTGCAATGGCTCACACCTATAATCCCTTTGGGAGGCCAAGGCAGAAGGATTGCTTGAGCCTAGGAGATAGAGGCTCCGGTGACTATGATCACGCCACTGCACTCCAGCCTGGGCAACAGAGTGAGATCCTGTCACAAAAATAAGTAAGAGGGAGGAAGGGAGGGACGGAGGGAGGGAGGAAGGGAGGGAGGGAGGGAGGGAAGAAGGAAGGATGGATGGACTCATATATGCTATAACATAGATGAACCTTGAAAACTTATGCTATATGAAGAAGCCAGACACAAACGGCCACATATTATATAATTCCACTGATACAAAATATTCAGAATAGGTAAATTCATAAAGACAGAAAACAAATTAGTGGCTGCCAGAGGCTGAGGGGAAAGAACAGAGAGTGACTGGTAAATAGGTAATGCTATGGACTGAATTTTATGTCCCAAAAATTCTTATGTTAAAATCCTAACCCCAATGTGACTGTATTTGGAGATAGGGCCTTCAAGGAGGTAATTAAGGTTAAATGAAATCCTAAGGGTACAGTAGTAATCCCATGGAAGTGGTCTCCTTATAAGAAGACTAAGAAACCAAAGATGTCCCTCTTTTCATACACACACAGAAGAAATGTCCTGTGAGGACACAACAAAAAGGCAGCCATCTGCAAGCCCGGAAGAGAGCCCTCACCAGAAACCAACTGCTAGCACTTTGACGGTTGACTTCCAGCCTCCAGAACCATGAGAAATAAATTTCTGTTGTTTAAGTCACCCTGTCTACGGTATTCTGTTATGGCAGCCTGAACAGACTGATACAGGTATGAAGTTTCTTTCTGCTGTAATAAATATTTTAGTGAGAGTTGCGTATCTCTATGAATACATAACACTGATTGTGTACACTTTAAAAGGGTGAATTTTATGATATGTAAATTATATTACAATAAAGCTATTAAAAAACAAAGTAAGAAGATTATAAGAACTGATATTAAGTGTTCTAGATACTCAAAAGACTCAATTCAGTTAATCTATCAAACAGGTTTCTGGATAAATCTAACTAAATATATAAAGCTTTAGCTTTCAAGAAAACTGCCAAAATTATACAAAAAGTGGTCTGTCCCTATGAGTTGCTTCTTTTAGAAAGAATTGAAACTTCTTTTCTCTTAAGTCAGAACTAATAATTCTCTTAAGTCAGAACTTATACTATTAACATGATATAATGAAAAGAGCGTGGAGTTTATTTTTCAGTTACTGATAGCATAATAATGAGTATGCCAATTAACTTCTGCTAATCCTTTTGAATCCTGGTTTCCTCATTTGTAAAATGAAGAAAATAATATCTACCTTATAGAATTACCCTGAAGACAGCATGAAATAAAATAAGAGAAAGAACTTTATAAAGCAGATTTTAAATGTAAGAAACATCGCCTCAATGATGTTAGAAGCCATCTAACTTTTTTTTTTTTTGAAGTTCACATTTTAATGGGGGGTATCAAGCAAATAAGCAAACCATCACTAAATATATCATTGTACGTGGAGGTAGGTACTACTAAGTACAAGCAAAGCAGGGAGAAGCTCAGTGTGCTGGGGGCGGGGAGGGCCATGGTGGGTGGGCAGAGAGCAGGACAGGCTTCTGAAGAGGTGACATGGAACTGAGAGGGTCTTGAGCAAGGGAATGGCTCGATCTCCTGGATTTAAGTGGAGATGGGGAAGGCAGTGGGCAGGGAAGGGGCAAGGGGAAGTGCCTGTTCTTTGCCAGGGACAGACTCTTTCTGGCAAGGAGCGATCCCTCCTCTTCTGAACAGGATGATGGGGCAGTGTGGAAATGTGGGAGGCTCCAAGGGCACGTGAACTGGAAGCGGGAGAGTAGGAAGGAGCAACGGGAATTACAGAGGGGTCACAGCATGTCATCAGGGAGGGATGCTGGCATTGGCTTCAGAGGAACAGCCCTGGTGATACCAAAGCCCAGGGCATGGCCATTTTTTCCCTTTTTTAAGGGAAAAAAATATGCACTTCAAAATCTTCAAAAAACAAAGCCTACCATGTAACAAATATAAAATCAGCTCTTTAAGGAAAAAGATACTTTTTTCTTTATATTCCCCAATCAAGAATGATGTCTAGTAAACACTAATGATTTTGGTGAATATTTTCTCAAGTTTTGAGATAAACTATATAGCTGTGGCAAAGAGTTTGCCTGTGAACCAAAAATGCTCTAAAGCTTAGCTTCACACATAAGTTTAAATGCTGGAATAGCATTTAAAATTATATAGAGAACAATATTTCTCAAAAGGACACAAATAGAAGTATAAAATCTACTAAGATTTTATTATACTAGTTAGTACTCAAAATATTACCCAGAAAATAAAAGTTATACAATAGAAGAAATACTCACTTGAGTGATAAACATTTTACAAGAAGTCTTTGACCAAAATGTTCTTTGGGTACATCAGGAACACTAAGCCTTTCTATTGATTCTTCCTACAAATTGACAAGCAACAACAAAATGAATATGCTCATCATATTTCAATTCTATACAATTTATATTTTTATAAGAATCTATTTTACTAATCTTCTTAGTCTTCACAATTGAATAAAGAATGACCTATTTATCCACAAAGTCACTAAATCATAAATATGTTCAATTCACAGAAATTACTCATTAATATATTCATTAGTATAAAAAGTATTCATTTATAAAAATTAAGGCTATGTTTCAGTTAAATTTTATTTCCTACATTATTATAATACTATTATAATAAATATTAATATAAATAGTATTTTATAATATACATAAATCATACTCCCAAATATCTATTTCATTAATCAGTTGCTTCTCTATATGCAAACATTTATACCTCATCTGGTGAAGGATGCAAAGCAAAGAGTTCCTTGTGACGGTTTGATTTCCTTTGGTCATCATTCTGACGGTCTATTTCTTCATTCGGTGTTCGATCAAGTAAATTGGGAAGCAAAGCATCCGGAAGTGAATTTTTTAAGTCAAAGATACTACAGGCCCAGCTACCCCTTGGAGTATCATCTATTGACATTGAACGTCTCTTAAGATCATCCTGTCATGCAAAACATTAAATATGAAGATATTAATAAATAAAAAATAAACTATTTTAAAATAAATTTTATAGTCATTTAAGAATAAAAATATTACTTGATCATCCTGGTAGTTGTTGCCATCTGGAGCTTCATCAGATTCAAAGACCTGTTTTGGCAAACCTTTTTGCCTTTCTTTCTGTTTATCTAATGTATTGGGATTAAATCCTGTTCCCAGTTTATGATATCTATTTAAAACAAAATAGTTAAATATCAATTTTTAAAAATTTTTCACTTTTTCAGCATTATTATGTAATAAGCCAAGTGTTATTTGAATTATTTCTTTACATAATAAGGATCTCTCCTAGCAGTTTTGAGTGTGTTAAATAATTAACCAGAGGTTTAAGAAAATTTCCATTTAAAGTTCCTTTAATCCAACTAAAGAGCAGATTATGAGTTCCCAAAAGCAAATCATATTTTCCTTCTTTCCATGCCAACCATGTGTATATAATTTAAGTTGTACTTTCAATTCAGAGAACTGGTCAGTAAAAAGAAAACTTGGGAAGCCAGGTTGAAGAATAAAATGAGAAAGTGAAAAATAACATTACCTTAATAGTAATACAAGTTTCTAAAAGGTTAAATACATGTATAAATAAAGCACTGAATCTTAAAATTTCAAATAGCCAAGAAATTTTTTGCTATATTTCATTATTTATAAAAGATCTTAACCTAAAGCTGCAGACATGTAAAATGAAAAACAGCAAAATCTACACTATTATATCCATATATGATTTAATTAATCTTTTTTTACATATGGCTAAAAACAACTCAAATCAATGTACCCTTCTTTCCTAACAACCCAATATCTGACAATATCAGATAAGAGTCGATCAAAGAGTAATTATTGTCCATGATTTAACACTATGTAGAGTCAAACTGTGGGAATATTTTAATTGGAGCAAAACAATAATGATTACCAGATTTTATGGTTCTTGCTATCAGCCACTTCATGAAATAGTGAAAGCTCTACATGACTACCTGTCTATCCCACACTATGACCATTTTTCTGACTTGTCTCTTGGCATTCTCACCCTCATTTATTCTATTCCAGCCACACTGTCCTCTTCACTATTCCTTAAACATTTCCAGCATGCTCTGAATACGGGGCCTTCGCATATATTGTTCTTCCTAGGAACACTCTTCTCCCAGATATCCACAGGACTCACTTCCTCACTTCCTTCAGGTCTGCTCAAAATCACCTTATCAGTAATCCTTCCTTATTTTACTTCCATAAATAGAAAATGTTATTCCTCTTATTGGCCCTCTCTACCCCTTTCACCCTACTTTTTTCTCCATAAGACTTATCTCTACCATATCTATTATAGATTTATTTGTGTTTATCGTCTATTGACCTCTTGCCCCACTAGAACATAAGCTCCATGAGGGCAAGGACTTGGTTTTGTTCAATGTTATATCATCAGTGTTTACTGTAGTATAGGCCTGGTACATATAAGACTCTCAATAAATGTTTGTTGAATGAATAAATAAATAAAGTATTTTCTGTCCCTTTATCACTCTGTGCTCAATTATGAAAGAATTTTGTGGTTTGATCTTATCACTTACTATTTTACTCTTTAGCCATATCCTACTCTACCATTAAGGCCATCTGCTGAGTTTTTAATATTTTTTACTGATGGAAAGTTTAATTTCCAAAGATAACTAATTGATTTTTATATGGTTAACATATCCTGTCACATATTTTATATACATTAATACATAAGTATATTTATTATTTTTATGTGTTTTATTGACAGTTTCCCAAATTATTAGTTCTTTTATTTGTAGTTTCTGATAATTCTCTTTCAAATGTACTGGCTTACATCAATACTTGGCAATTCTGGGGTCTATGTTCAGTTTTGAATTTGCATCCCCCACATTTGTCTTGAACTACTATATCTGCTTACCCCAGCCCATATCCAGTAGCTGTGGGGAAGGTACAAATCATGCTGGCAGGCAAACTCTGCCAGTACCTAGTCGTCTAGGGATGAGGTTTCCTTCTTCCTTCAAGGTATGCTCACCCTGGGTACTATCCTATCTGTTCAAGTACAGCTCCTGAAAAACAGACAGTTGTCTCTGCTGCCACTGCTGTGCACACATGGTATAGGGGGTTTCAAAGTAACCAAGTCTCCAACATCTCCTCCAGGTCCTCCACCACTGTCTGTATTTACTGCTTCTGAGCTTAAAGCACTACTGAAGCTTTTGCACATATTTTCTCCTTACATTATTCTTTCCTGTGGTTTTTTCTTATATTCCAATCACACTTATCTTCTGTTTTTGAGAAATACCTCATAACTTCTAGTTCACCAAAAGTAGCCCTTTTGTCTTCCATTTACCAGAGCAGATAATGTATAGTAACTAGTATAACAGGAAAAAATATATAAGCTTTAGAATCTGATAGGCCTACGTTCTAATTCTGGTTACCTTACCTTTTGGCTTGTGAGATCATAGAGAAGTTATTTAACTAATCTAAGCTTGAGCTATCTTATCTATTAGAACCTTAAATTAGGTGAGTATAAAGTGCTCAGTAAAATGCCTAGGACATAGTAAGTTCCCATATTTAATTCCCTTATCCTCTTGCCTAAACCAATGCTAGCAACCTCTTGATTAGAATTAAGTAACAGATTCCATGATTCTGAGGTCAATATATTTTACAACTAACCTCTTTTTATTAAGATTTCTAATAATAGGTTTCCAACATATATGCATAGAGGTAAAGCCTTTTGAATTATCTGACAGAGGAACAATTTCTTTCAGTAAAGTCTAAAATCTGGCTACAAGAATACTTACCAAAATTGTAAGTTCATAAAAACAGCTCTTCTATATAAAGGGCAGCAGACTGTGCTTTTATTAGGTCACACTAAAACTAAAAACCATGTCAGCATTATCCCCCAGAGTGATATATAGCACAATAGTAAGCCCAGTGAAATAAGACAGCAGCCATGAGGCAAAACAATAAGCAATGCTTTCGCTAGTACTATTTAGCACACATTACTTCATTTGTGAAAACTATAATGTTATATCAGAATTCTCTACTACTTCAGTCATCATGTTTCCTTTAGTTAAATAAGGCTAAGAAGTTTCAGTATGGAAACCATTCTTCATCATGTAAACTAGCAAAAGAAAAGTAGTTTTGTTTCTTAATCTGAATTGATATTTCACACACAGTCCATTAGAAAACTAAATTTGGGATAGAACAAAACATTTTTTTAACAAATATTTACCTGATTAGATAGACAGGTCAAGGACTTAAAACCAGTAGTTAGAAAGGGCAGAGACCTTTCAAATAGCTTGATCTGGAAAACTGGCTATTAAACTTAACTTAGCTAGTTAAGTTTCATTAAATTGGATTTTTTTTTGAGAAATACAAATTATTCATCAATATCTTGCCATGATTTCACAAAAGAATTAGATTATAAAATCATTATCATCATATATTATTAGTTCTTAATGATTTATAATGATATAGAAATACTACTCACACAAACCTATTACTTTATAAGGAAAATAAGTAAAAGTAATTGTGGAATTCCTGAGAAAATGTATGTATATTGGGTTATTAAGTATGAAATGTCCAATTTCCTTAAGTACTAAGTTTAATAGTTGATATCTCAGGCATTTCACTTTGACACTTCCTGTTTTATTTTTATTTTGAGGGTACATCCTCAGTCTTTCAAAAGTGCATTTTGGCTTGTGAATAATCTTTCACATTTTTTTTTTTTTTTTTTTGAGACAGAGTCTCACTTTGTTACCCAGGCTAGAGTGAGTGCCATGGTATCAGCCTAGCTCACAGCAACCTCAGACTCCTGGGCTCAAGCAATCCTACTGCCTCAGCCTCCCGAGTAGCTGGGACTACAGGCATGCGCCACCATGCCCGGCTAATTTTTTCTGTATGTATTAGTTGGCCAATTAATTTTTTTTCTTTCTATTTATAGTAGAGACGGGGTCTCGCTCTTGTTCAGGCTGGTTTTGAACTCCTGACCTCGAGCAATCCACCCGCCTCGGCCTCCCAGAGTGCTAGGATTACAGGCGTGAGCCACCGCGCCCGGCCTCTTTCACATTTTTTTAAGAGCAATTTTTGTGAAACCATGGATAAGTAAAAAAATTCATGTTGTTTTCAAACATGAGTTCTGTTGTGGAACCAATGCAGCACAGACAGCTCAAAATATCAACGAAATGTTTGGGAAGGATGTGGCTAATGAACACACAGTACGTCGATGGTTTGAAAAGTTCTATTCTGGTGATTTCAATCTTGAAAATGAGTCACGTGGGCAACCTGAGACTAAGGTGGATAATGATGAGCTGAAAGCTGTAGTGGAAGCGAATCCATCTCAACCTACAGGTTCGACGTTACTATTCCAACAATATGGGACCATTTGAAAAATATCAGCGAGGTAAAGAAGCTGGATAGATGAGTTCCACATGAATTAAACAAGAGTCAGAAGAGAAATTGTCTCAAAGTCATGATATAAAGGTAAATCAGTTTTATACCATATTGTTTTCATGTGATGAAAAATGGATTCTTTTTGATAATCACAAGCATTTGGCACAATAGCTGGATACAGATTAAGTGCCGAAACACAGTTCAAAACCAAATACTCATCAGAAAAAGCTAATGGTGCCTGTTTGGTGGTCCAACACTGGTATTATCTACTACAGCTTCATTAAACCTGGTCAATCGATTACAGGGGATGTCTACTGCAACCAAGTAGAACAGGATGCTTAAGCTTAAGGGTCAATGGAGACAAGCCAATCCTTTTGCAAGACAATGCTCAGCCACAAGTCTCACAAACAATGCTGCTCAAACTACAGAAGCTGGACTTAAAAACTCTATCATTCACTGTATTCACGAGACCTTGCACCAACTAACTACCACTTCTTCTAGGCTTTAGACCACTTCTTACAAGGAAAAATATTCAATTCTCAACAAGCTGTGGAAAACACCTTTTGCAATTTAATCACCACTCGCTCTCTAGGCTTCTCCGCTGCTGGCACATAAATAAGCTACTGTTAAGATGGCAAAACTGTGTTGATAGTATAGGTGCATACTTTGATTAATTGTACTGCTTCCTGTTTGAGATATAATAAACTACACCTTTGACTCGAAATCGGACATTTCATACATAAGGTTCTTTTTGTTTCTTTAACTATTTTGTTTTAATACATTTTCTTATCTCACATTACTGATCTACCTTAATCCATTTACAAATCCTACTCAGTATTTTTAAATGTTACAATAAACATATAACTTACTTTCTGATCACAATTGCCCAGTCTTCTGTATAACTTCTTATACAATCTCTAACATGTGGATCCATTTCACTATTTTTAAAAAGAAAATATATTTGTAATTTAGAAAGGAAAGCACTGATGTTCGTGAATTTGGTTGCTGCAGTTCATGTTCTTACGACAAGAAATGACATCACCACAAGAAATAGGCTCTAAATATTATATCAGAAGGCAGCCTTTCTATAGTTACACTAAAACCAAAAGTAGTTAAATGTCTCCTTACCTTTCTTCAGGTACAGCTGAAACAAGGGTTCTGCAGTCCCGAGGACTATAAACAACTTCAATATCATCTGGAGGAAATTCAATCAATTCCCTTAAAGGCCCAGAATCCACAGCTAAAGGATGAGTAATGAGGTAATCTTCAAAATCTACCGGGTCTACTGCTTCAGTAAGGGGCACCTTTATAAAAAGAGGTGGGAGTAAGAGGTAGACAGAAAGAGATGAATGTAAGAATTTTAAAACTTTAAAGAAAATTAATTTTTTTAAAAACATAATACACTTTTAACCTAGTTCTTTCTAAAATTTAACATGCTTAGCCAGATGCGCTAAAGAAAACAAAAAGTGTTGGCCTTCTTAGACTCCTTTATGCCTTTGGTCATACTCTCTTTAACCTTCTTGATTAGACTTTGCCTATAATTCTCACATAAAAATAGTAATAATAATAATAATAATTAAAGTTTTATTATATTTTACAATTTACAAAATACTCATTGAAAGAATTCTTTTTTATATCTTTGGAATTTTCATTGTTAAGTTTCTAAAACAGCGCTTTTACTTTGTTATTGTTGATTATCCTAGTAAAAACATATAACCAGACTATGGTAGGCTGAAAAATGGCCCTCTCAAAATTCTCCTCATCCTAATCCACAGCCCCTGTGCATGTTAACTTACATGGAAAAAAAATAAAAGAGTCTTTGTAGATGTGATTAAGGACCTTAAAATGGAGACATTATCCTGGATTATCAAGCCAGGTCCTAAATGCAATCACATGTATCTTTATAAATAAACAGGGAGATTTGGGTCATACATACAGAAAAGAAAGCCATATGAAGATGGGACTAAAAGAGATTTGAAGAGTCTGGCCTTAAAGATATAAGTGATGTAGCCATAAGTCAGGGAATGCCAAAAGCCACCAGAATCTGGAAAAGGCAAGGAACTGATGCTCCCCTACAGCCTCTGAAGGGAGCACAGCGCTGTCAAAACCTTGATTTCAGTTCAGTTATACTGATTTCAGACTTCTGGCCTCTAGTACTGAGGAGAATAAAGTTCTTTTGTTCTAAGCCACCAAGTTTGTGGTAATTTGCTACAGTAGCCACAGGAAACTACTACACAGACCTCATTAAAAGTTTCTACTAGCAATAATAAGATTGACAGTAATCTTTAGCCAGGCTGAAAATATACTTTTAATAACATACTTCTTATCTAGTTCAAGAAAGAAAAACATTCAGACAAAACTATGAAGGATATATAACAAATGTGCAATTGTAGACCAATGAAAATAAGACCGTGTTATTTCTCAGGATGTTCATCTGGAATAAAAACACTGAAACTTGCCTCTGTGTAGGTATATGTCATTAAGTGGAAGGTGCTTTAATCTATGCTGTTTTGGATTGAACAATTAGCAACATTTTAAAGACATTAAGTAAAATAATAAATGACTAATATATCTTAAATAGTCAAAAGACAGTAGTTATTATCATGAATGTTAATCTCATCTAAACCTCTCCCAAGTCCTGTAAATTAGAGATAATTACTATTTCAATTCTACAAATAAAGAGATCCTTGTGCTCAAAGAAGTTAACCAAAATCTGAAAATAAAGACACAAAATGGTAGAACAGAAATTTGAAATTGAGTCTCTAGGCTCTAAAATTTGTGGTTTCTTTCTCTCGTAAGCATTCTATCTTACTTATCCTATCAAGTACAAGCTACACTATGATGTTCTTAACAAAGGGAAAGAAGACAATCAAACAGAAAGAGAAATCTTTCTTCAATCTTTGTTGCTGGAGCTACTTACTGAATGTCCATATGAAAAAAAAACGAACCTCAGTCTTCATATCACAACATACATAAAAATTAAATTGAGATGGATCACAGACATAAACACAAATGCTAAAACTATAAATCTGCTAGAAGAAAACACAGCAGAATGTCTTTATGATTTGGGAATAGGAAAAGTTTTCTTAGACATGATAGAAGAAGGAACAATTATACAAAATTTTGATATATCAAAAGAGACTATTAAGAAAATGATTAGGCAGCTCACACCTGTAATCCTACCTAGCACTCTGGGAGGCTGAAGTGGGAGGATCACTCAAGATCAGAAGTTCAAAACCAGCCTGAGCAAGAGCGAGACCCCATCTCTACTAAAAACAGAAAGAAATTAATTGGCCAACTAAAAATATATAGAAAAAATTAGCCGGGCATGGTGGCGCGTGCCTGTAGTCCCAGCTACTTAGGACGCTGAAGCAATAGGATAGCTTGAGCCCAGGAGTTTGAGGTTGCTGTCAGTTAGGCTGATGCCATGGCATTCTAGCCCAGGCAAGAGAGTGAGACTGTCTCAAAAAAAAAAAAACAAAAAAGAAAAAACAAACCTGTTCTCCCCAGCCAAACGATCAAGAAAGAGGCAGCCTAACAAAACAAAAAACATTTAGACAATAACTGCTCTACTCTAGCTAAACATTGCATGAAAACTGTGGCCCGATCCACACCCACAATAGCAAAGACCAAGTGGGAAGCTAGGCTTCTACTCTCACAAAGCTGTAACAAGGCACCCAAACTCTTTTCACCAGAGTAGTAGAAGAGAAGTCCAAGTAGGAAGTTGGGATTTTCATACCTACTGAACAGTGATGAGTCTCTCAACCCCACAGTGTTAATAGAGGCCACTTAGGGAATGTGGACATCCACTCTCACTAAGTGGCAACAAGACTCCCCTTTCCTTTATCGCTGGGGATGTGTCAAAAAGGCCTAGTGGAGAGTCAGTACTTTTACCAGTGCTCAGTGTCAAGGCCACACACCCCTGGGTATCAGTGGAGGTTATGTGAGGAACAGTAATGAGGCTCTACTCCCCTTCCCAGCCAAGTGGTGTGAGCACTGGTCCCGTAGAAGTGGGAACTCCTCCTCCTCCACAACAGTCACGAGGAGCCCTTCTCCTCCTTGCATATCAATAGATGAATGGGAAACTTGGACTTCTACCCCATCTGTCCATAACAAAGTAATATCCACCCATCTACAACCAGAGCAATGTCAGAGGAAGCCAGCTAAAACATGTTTAAATAAGATCTAGAGATTTACAACATGAGATCTAAAATGTCCAAGTTCCAATCAAAAATCTTTCATCATACTAGGAACCAGGAAAATTTCAATTCAAATGAGAAAAAGATAATCTATAGATGTCAATACCAAAATAAGAGATCTTAGCATTATGTGACAAAGATTTTAAAACAAACATCATAAAAATGCCTCAATAGCAATTGCAAACACTTTTAAAACAAATGAAAAAAAACCAGAAACTCTCTGTAAAGAAACAAAGTCTCAGAAAAAAAAAAAAATAGAAGATATAAAGAAGAACTAAATGGAAATTTTAGAACTGAAAAATACAATAACCAAAATAAAAAATACAACAGGTGAGTACAATAGTAGAATAGAGTAGACAAAGGAGGTAAGGATCAGTTACCTTGAAAAGAAAAATAGAAATTACTCAGTCTGAACAGCAGAGAGAAAATAGACTAAAAAACAAAACAAGACAAAACCAAAAACAGAACTTCAAGGATTACGAGAAAAGATATGAGATTCGTGTCACCAGAATCCTGGAAGGTGAGGAAAAAGACAACAAGGCAGAAAAATATCTCAAGAAATAATGCTTGAAAATTTCTAAATTTTACAAAAAGACATAAGCCTATACACTCAAGAAGCTATGCAAATCTTAAACAGGGTAAACCCAAAGAAATATATGCCAAGACAGATAAGTCAAATTTCTAAAAACTAAAGACAAAATCTTGAAAGTAGTGAGAGGAAAATAACACCTTACTTCTAGAGGAAAAAAAAATAACTCATATGGCAGCTAATGTGTGACTGGGTACAGGGTTTGTCTGGGATGATGAGCAAGTCCTGAAAATGAATGGAGGCGATGGTTGTACAACACTGTAAATGTACTTAATGTCAGTGAACTGTATACTTAAAACTGGTTAAAATCATAAATTCTGGCTGGGCGCAGTGGCTCACGCCTGGAATCCTAGCACTCTGGGAGGCCGAGGCAGGAGGATCGCTCAAGGTCAGGAGTTCAAAACAAGCCTGAGCAAGAGCGAGATTCTGTCTTCACTAAAAATAGAAACAAATTAACTGGCCAACTAAAAATATTAGAAAAAATTAGCTGGGCATGGGGGCATATGCCTGTAGTAACTGCTACTTGGGAGGCTAAGGCAGGATTGCTTGAGCCAAGGAGTTTGGGGTTGCTGTGAGCTAAGCTGATGCCACAGCACTCTAGACTAGGCAACAGAGTGAGTCTCTGTCTCAAAAAAAAAAAAAATCATAAATTTTGTTATGTATATTTTACCACTACATATTATAAAGGTAAAACATAAATATATGTAAATTTAAAATAAAATTTAAAAAATTTTTCTAATCCAATGCTTTTTACCCAAATATTATTTATAGAGCAGTATACATTTCAGGATTCAAAGTGTCACAAATGAATAATCAATGAAAAAAATAAACCTGGAAGGTCCCTATTTATGTCTAATTCAAATTTAATTTTTCCTCAAAGAATGCCCAACCATATCAACAGAAACTGTTGGGTAGGGGAGGAAGATATGACACTCCCTTAAAAAATCATAGAGAAGATAAACAACAATCTCGTTTTCAAAAGTCACGTATAAGGTCATTGGTGTCCGGAAACAGTGGCTCCCATCTGTAATCCCAGCACTTTGGGAGGCTGAGTTGGGAGGATAGCTTGAGACCACCGTAAGCAACACAGCATGACTCCATCTTTACAAAAAATTAAAAAAAAAAAAAATTAGCTGGGCATGGCGTCATGCACCTATAGTCCCAGCTACAATATGCTGAGGGAGTAAGATCGCTTAAGACCAGGAGTTCAAGGCTGCCATGAGCTATAATCGTGCCACTACACTCTGGCCTGGGCAACAGAGCAAGACCCCATCTCTTAAAAAAATAAATAAATAAAAATAGATAAGGTCACTGGCTTTCTAGATGTAGTGTTAGCTAGACTTTGATCAAGGAAACATTTACTTTTGCTACAACAGTCCAACAGTCTCCATTCTCTCTGATGCCCATCAGAGAGAGCTGGCTGGTTAATGTTGGGATGTCATGATGAGTTGTTTACAACTATAAATTATTTTGTAAGAGTTAAGACTCCAAAGAAAGATTCTATATTTACTGACCC